GGGGAGACGTCCCCCTGGAAGGCAGCAGCCCGGAAAGCGCTGGCAGCAAAGAGGTGACCAGTCCGGCTGTGCGTGCGCAGCAGTCCCTCGTCTCTCCTGCAGTTAAGTCTATGGGTCCTTTTTTTTTCCGTGTATGTGATAAAAGAGGGGAAAATCTTCTCAGCCTTGCTGGTATTAACCTAATTCATCTCTGTGGGCTGGAACGTCAGATGTGATGAACAAGCTGGATCAGGGCTCGTTAGTTTTCTTCAGAGGGTCTCAAAGAGCTGCAGAAAGGTTATCTGTAGACAAGCTTTAGTACTATGGGACATAATAAAAAATTACCAGGATGGCAAAGTAATTGTTGTGCCTGATCTAGCTGCCAGCAGCCACAGAGGCTTCAGGAGCGCGGTCGGAGCACGGCGCAGCGCTGCCGGTAGCACCCCACGCAGCCTTGGTCAAGTCACCTACCGGGAGCTCCTGGCACGCCGCCCGCTTCCCAGGGCTGGGGAGATTTATTAGTTCCTGCTTGTGCGCCACGCTGGAAGTATGAAGTGCTAAACGTTGCTAAAAGCTGTTATGAAAAAAAGTGTTATGGACAACAACAATATTTTATAGCCTGATTTTTTTTTTTTTTCTCCCCTCTGCTAAAGTTTCCGTGCTCCAGTAGAGTACAAACACACAGTGCATGTACGCACGTGCACACACACACATACACGCAGCGCAAGGAGGGAGAAGGGACGGGAAACCAAATGTACACATGTGAAACACTGCCAAGATGGACTTAAATGGCTTGCTAGGTCATTATAGAGCAGTAATTATCTGACTGGACCAGTGGAATATTTATTTCTGTTTTTAAAAAGACAGGGTAGGAATATTGGCTGATTGTTCTTGCACTTTTTCCAAATCTAAGAAAAGCTGGTTTCCGCAGAAGCCTTGCGCGTTGCTTCTGGGAGCCTAAACTGCAGCCACACAGGAGTACTGTACAGAGACCAGGAAGGCGAGCAGACTAGCATGCAAAGTGAGATTGATTGTTTCATTTTCTTTGTCTAGCTTGAGAGAGGCAATAAAGAGCGCAAGAGAAACAAATGTTAGAAAAACCGGGTCTTATGAATCACTTTTTTAAAGCCATATAAGGGTGTATTTATAAGATGGTAACTGCTTTTTAATTGAATTTTATATGCAGTTGAAATTCTATACTTAAAGGAAAATTCAGTGTGACACTTCCAGAGAGGAGCGCTCTGAACATGTGTTTTATATCGAACCAGGTTCTCCCAACCGATGAATCAGTTGAACACAAGAAGTCCCACAGACAGAGCCATCGGAAGAAGGTGCTACCGGAGATCTACCTGACCAGGCTGCTCTCCACAAAGGTAGGCGACAGGACACGCTCGTTTGCGGCAGGTGGAATTATTGTTTGGGGTCTGCAGCAGGAAGCCTGCTCTAGGGAAGGAGCACCGCGGGGCCGGTCGCTCTCGAGAGGCAGTGGGACTCTCGTGTCCTGGATGGCTGGAGTGTGTTTAGCAACACTGCCCAGCGTTCCCTCCAGCTTTCCAGCTCGCCCTCTGAGCAGCAGCGCTGCTGCGCGAAGCCCCACACGATCTCCTGGGGCTGGTCTGGGGTCTGTGCACATCAAAGGGATGCTGACCGCCTCAGGGCTCATGATGCGCAGTTTAGACCTGAACCCCAGCGAGAGATCCTGCTGGGAAATGAGATGGAGATGCTCAGCTCTGGGAGCAGGGGGAATGTCTGTGCGATCTTAATTCAGATTTGAACTTCCCCACTCTCTGCAAGTGCTCAGCTCCAGCAGTTGGGCTCCCAGCCCATCTTTAATCCCAGCATGATGCCTCACTGGAGCAGAGATCACAAGAATGGCCAGCAGTCTCTAGTCTTCTTTGTATTTACTGTGCAGAACAATCACAGATGTGAGATCCTAGCAGTAAGACTGAAAATCTCGATGCCAAAAGAAATTAAACCCAAATGCAAGCTAATTATATCGCTATGCACAAACAAACCTTTCCTTCCCTGCTTCAGCATCCCCTTTCTCTTCTGATTTATCCAACTGGCAGCAAACCATTTCCCCTTGTGCGCAGCAGTCTCAGCCCCTCACGCTGTTTTCCTGGGCTCGAGTGCTGCTGCTTTCCCCAGTCTCCATCGTGTGCGCTTGTCCCGCAGGGCACGCTGCAGAAGTTCCTGGACGACTTGTTCAAAGCCATTCTCAGTATCCGAGATGACAGACCACCTGTGGCCGTGAAGTATTTCTTTGACTTCCTAGAGGAGCAAGCAGAGAAAAGAGGGATCACAGACCCTGACACTATACACATCTGGAAGACCAACAGGTTTGGAAGAGGAAATCTCTTCTCTCTTTCCTTCCTTCCATCTCTCAGGAGCAGCAGCTTGCAAAGCCTTGGTGTCCTGGACTGATCATTAGGTTGCTAAGAGTAGAAGAGGGACTTGGAAAGCAGGAGGGGTGGTGGAGGGGGCGGCGAAAGATGAGTCCAAACACAGGCTTGGAGAGCTTTGAACAAACACAGAGCTCAGGGGAACAGCAAGCTGGAAGAGGAGGCATAGGCAGATAAAGGGCAGAACGAACTGGCACGCTAGTACAAATAATTAAAGGAGAAACAGAAGGACGGGATAACGGGAGACAGCAATGGTGTTAGCTCCAAGCACTGGAGATCTGAGACAGAGTCTAAAATCATGTCAGGTCTTAAAACATCATGGAGATTTTAAAACCAGGATATTTGGCTCCCTTTCATTTGCTTTCTAGCTTTTCAGCCCTTGGGGGCACTTTTCCTGACTTATCTCTGAGATAAGTAACCAAGCTGAGACTCCACGGGATTCCGGGAGCGGGTGCTGTGACAGTAGCATGCTGCCGGGGACCGCGCCGGGGACCAGCCGGGAGCGGTGCTGAGGGATGTGATGAGCAGCATGGAGCAGCCAAAGCAGAGCGGGGAAGTAGAGCAGGGGAGAAACCTGGAGATTTAACCAGGGAGAGCAGGGAGCTTGGAGGGAGCATCGAGGAGCAGCTCAGTGCTTCTGAGGCTGCAGGAACAGTAACTGTTTCCAGCCCAACATGTGAAAATTAAAAACAAATTTGGCTGGGATAGCAGGCATGCAGACACAACCATTGAGCTGCAGATTTGCTTACCCTTCATTACCTTTAATTGCTAGTAGAGCAAAGACTTATAGCGGCTTTCACTCCTCAGCTGCTGAGGAGGGGTGGTAGAAGGGGCGAGCGATATACTGAAACTGTGTTGTGGCCAAATGAGCAGTGAAATAACTGGAGGAGAAAATTATGAGAAAGCAGAAAAAAAGGCACATGAAATGCATTTCACGGGGCCAGGCCTACCATCAGAACCAGATGACAGTTACTGTTGGGGAAGAAGGAAAAGGAGCTGACACCATTGCCACAAAAATGAGCAAGTGGGGAAGCCTGATCCGACAGCCCCATGCAGGCAGCCCTGCCAGTGTCTCCTGGACCGCAGCTGGCTCAGAGAGCTGCAGAAGGAGCAAGGGTACACGCTTGCCTAGACAAGGCTGGGCATGAAGGCTCCTGCTCGTGCCGCATGCTTCAGCCTGAAGAAACGTCTCTTCAGGGTGAAGATGTGTGCCTGCCCCTCCAGCCGTATGCTACCAGGATGTGATGAAATAGCACAACCTGGCTCCTCATTTTTTTTTTTTTCCTCCTCACTTTCTATCATCATCTTTCCTGCATTTCCTCCCCTCTCCCTCTGGAGTACAAAAATTCACCTGGTGTGTGTTCTTGGCTTGTTTCCCTCGCAGCTTACCTCTGAGGTTTTGGGTCAACATCCTGAAGAACCCCCAGTTCGTCTTCGACGTTGACAAGACAGACCACATCGACGCCTGTCTCTCTGTGATAGCCCAGGCCTTCATTGACGCCTGCTCCCTGTCTGACCTGCAGCTTGGCAAGGTACCGCCGCGAGGACACCTCACTCCTGCTCGGGCAGTCATAGACACAGACCGGTACGGGTGGGACAGGACCGTCAGAGCCTGAAGAACCCCCAGTTCGTCTTCGACGTTGACAAGACAGACCACATCGACGCCTGTCTCTCTGTGATAGCCCAGGCCTTCATTGACGCCTGCTCCCTGTCTGACCTGCAGCTTGGCAAGGTACCGCCGCGAGGACACCTCACTCCTGCTCGGGCAGTCATAGACACAGACCGGTACGGGTGGGACAGGACCGTCAGAGGGCCCCCAGTCCGGCCTCCCCCAGCAGCGGGGCTGGCTGGGAGCCGCTTGCTCCCGTTCATGCACTTGAGTTTTGGCTGATTCCAAGGATGAGTTCTCCCCTTCCCTTCCCTTCCCACCACTTTGTTCAGGCTTGAGCTCGAAATGTGCACCCCCTCTGTCACCAAGAGCGGTCAGGGGGTGGGAACACGCGGTCACAGGCAGGATGGAGCAAGGGCAAGGCCCCAGCCTGGAAGGCTCGGAGGATGGAGCCCCAGCCGCTGGCTTGCATGCTTGGTGTTGCCCAGAGCGGTCCTGCCGTCGCAGGAGAGCACCCAGCGTAGCACAGTGTCCCTAACGCTTCCCGACGGGGCTGAGCTGGTGCGTGAGCAGAGGAATATTCTCTGTTGTTGGCTCGGGCAGGGGTGTAATGTGCCAAGGCGGCAGGTGTCAGCTCTGCTCTGGGCACAGGCACGGGCAGACTCAGCACGGGAGCCCAGCTCCCTCAGTCAGGACTGGTTTAGGGGACAGCATTGGCATAGCAATCCCGTAGCAGCAGCTGAGGGATGATACAAACTCCCAGTGGCGGGATGGAAAATGACGTAGC